AAGAAAAAGCCAAATGGATGTCATTTGGCTTCCCAGCTAAGGATTCAATTAGTAAAAAGAAAAACAGAAGAGGAAAAAGAAAATGTCAATTAACAATGTTATTACATATTGTATTTGTCTATTTTGGGCTCTTGGCTAACTATAAAACCTATTGTATTTCTTTGATTGAGAATACCATTAGTTAATAGACATAAACAACATGTAACAATACCATTAGTTGATCATTGGTGCAAACTTTTTTATATTGATTATTTGACTAGCCATGTTTAAACATGCTATGACATGTTTTAGTAAAGCCAAAGGAGTGCCAATTACTCTGTAATTTTAGGGTGTTAGTTGCTCCTTCATGAATATATTTTTTAGAAGTAAAAATGCTCTTTTTTTATATGAGTATATGAATAGATCAGATTTGAGCCTTGTCACACTCAATTAGAAATTACTTTATCAAAAACATCTTCTGCATATATAATAAAGAAAATCTAAAGTTTTGGTTAATAAAAAATCGGTGTTAACAAAAGTTCAATATTTTTTGGCTAAAAAAAGTTTGATATTTTAGGTTTAAAAAAATTAACAAATATTATTTTGAGAGTTGAATCTAATTTGGAGTCCAACAAACTTCTGTTTTCCACCTTCTTATTTCTCATTTAGGTTTATATATATATATATATATTTTTTTTTTTCATTTCTGGGATAGCTTTTCATAATATAATTAGACACCAAATTGTACATCACATGAGATGCAATTAATCTTACATTGTTAGAATTGAATATTTTAAAATATATATGAATTAATCTTATCCTTTAGGATTGAATATTTTATAATTTATAAAATTTTAACTTTTCATAATCGAATATTTTGTAATTTATCACTTCATTCTATTTTTTAAAATTAAGATTTTTTATTTATCACATTATTTTATATTTTTAATCTATTTTTTAAATTATAATTTTAAGTTTAATATTTTTTTCTAAAAAAATCAACTTAGTCACAAAAATATATATACATATAAGAAAACTCATTTCCTTTTTTGTTATTATACATCTCAACTGAATTTTGAATCAAATCATCCAAATAAATTTAAATTATTCAATTGACTTTTAATAAAAATGTATTCAAACATAAATCACATTAAAATCAATGATTTTTTTTTTCCTAACTTTAGTTTGCTAAGTTTAATTAATTCTAATTTTAATTGTAAACTTTTTAATCTAAGCACATATTTAGTTCGATGGTGATATTGTAATGATTTTAACACTTGAAAGGCAACATTACTCTACTAAATAATTTAGGATAATTGATGTTTCTCATAAAATAATTTAAAAACAAAAATTCCATTTAACCCTTGAATTTATATACTGGCAACTTTAACAAGAGGATATTAAATTTAAAAATAAACTAATGTTTTGTTTGGATGTATGGTGATTTGAATTTGGACCAAATTCACCATATGAATTCATAAAAATTTATGAATTTAAATTTGATTCAAATTTCAATCCATGTTTAATATAATTTTTTATAATTTTAAGTTCTTCCTATATTTTAGTTATTCGAAATGCTCAATGCTCTAACCCTCTCATCTCCTTCCATTCTCATTTCTCATTTTTCTTTTTCGTCTTTGAATTTGAAATTTAATTTTTTTTTATATTATCCAAACAAATAATTTTAAATTTAATATTTTAAATTTAAAATTTAAATCCAAATTTTTCAATCGAAATGTTAAAAAAGCAATGATTCAAAATGGTTGCAAGGCAAATACATTTATCTAAACAAAATATACAATAAATTTTTCCCTTTAAAATAACATAACTTCAAATAAAAATAATTTTATAATTATTATCTCATAAAAATTTAAATTTAAAGATAAATGAAAATCAAATTCTAACTAACTAGCTTTGCAAGTGGCATCCGAAGACAACGCACCAACCACTGAAGCGGCAAGAGTATCTGTTGATAAGCATTCCAAGATACCTTTTTACGATGCAAAGTCATTCCATAATAAATTTAAGATTGAAGTATATTCCAATTCTTTAACTCTATATAAAATTTTAATTAAATTTCTTAATTTTATAAAATATTTTTTTAATTCTTAACTTTAATATTGCTAATTTAAAATGATAGTTTTTTTTTGTCAATAATTGTTATTTAAAAAAATTTAAATTTAATATGTCAATATTTTAAATATTTTTTTAATATTTCAAAGTTCAATATAAAATTTTTGTGTAATGATAAAAGACTAACACATCATAAAATCAAGAGATTAAAATAAAATCTTATGTAAAATTAAAAGTTTAAAAGTATACTTTAATTTATATTTAAAACAAAGAAAATAGTGGTGAAATAAAAGGGTGTGACCACTATTTCAGAAAATATCTTAAGTTAAAATTTCATTTTCATTGCATAATAAATTTAAAACAAAGAAAATATCTGCAACTTGCAACTTCGTTCAAGATAAATTCTATTTATAAGTCAAATAGTTAATTGAAAAATAATGAATGGAGTGACGGGTACTTTAATTCTGGATAATACGCAGGAAATTACTCAAAACTTTGTTTGCTAGAGAAGGTAAGGTTGATAATGATGGAGATTCTGCAATTTGTTTATATGGACAAAAATAAAGATTTTACAATTTCTCTTGCGCATGATTTAAAAAAATAATAACAAAAGGGAGAATCTTCATTCGAAAGCAGGCCAGGCTTGCAGCCCACCACAATTGCCCAGTAGTCCTGTGCTATAACATGCTATAATTTGAAATAAAATTATACCTATCAATAAAATTTCATAATGATACTTGGATTTTAGGGTAAAAATATTTTAATTTTTTTTTCAAAGATACGTGACATTTTAAATTTTTTTTAGAACATTTTTGTTTTGAAAGTTTCAAAAATAGAACATTTTCGTCTCATTGTTAAAAATCACAAACGTTAATTGTTAAATTAAAGTTTAACCAATGATATTTTTGTATCTTTTCCCCTTTTATTTTGTGTTTAATCTCCGATTTCATTCTTCAATGAATTATTTAACTTTTCTTCTTTCAATGAATGAAAATGAAGATTCAAAAATGCAAAACAAAAGGAAGCAAAATTGTAAAATATCTTGATCAAACTTCAATTAATAGTTAACATTTTTCATATTTAACAGTGGGGTAAAAATACTTTGTTTTTAAAACTTTTAGGGCAAAAACACTCCAAAAAAACTTAATATACCAAGCATCCTTGGAAAAAAAGATTCAGGATAGGTTTACCATTTAACCCATAATATTATAAATACACTTTTTTCAAAACAACAATATAAACTTTTAGAAAATACACTTCATTTAATATAATATTAAATTTACACACTAATCATTACAATATAATCATTTCAATTCTCTCTCATCTCGAACGGTAATATTCAAAAACCATCATTAATAAAATATTATTTTTGTCAAATTATCTTATATTTTAAGATAATAAAATACCTCTAAAGTTGTCTTACAATTTGAGACAAAGGTAATATTATTCTATTCCTATTTATAAGTCATTATTAATATATTTTTACTATGATTAAAAAAATTTTAAAATTCATTAACTTTATCTAAAATAAATTTTTAATTTTTTTCCTGTTAAATAAATATATTTTAATAATGTACTTTCTTTTATCAATATTCTTGTTTTTGCTAGAATTTTACAGGTATTTAATGAATGGTAAAAAGTCAGTGACATGTTTTATAAATAAAATCAAATTCTCTTTATAAATAGGATAAGATAAGAGAAGTCGCATTTGTCACTATTTTTTTTTTTTGGGTAAAAAATGGCTTGACCAAACTTATAAATTTTAAATGTGGTCTTTTATTTTTTTTAATAATAAAATCCACCCTGTGGGCATTAAATGCAAGTTTCCAATGACAATCAGATAGAGCTCAAATGGCATGATCTCCCGCTTTGATAGGTGATTTGTGTGTTATAAAATAGTCAAAATTTTTAAGGAGGAAGGGAATCTTTTAGTAGGATACTAATTTTGGATTCGGTTCTTAACAATTTTTAAGTTTCAAATGGCATGCACTTGGATTTTTCTTTTTGTTTTTGTTTTTTTGCATGTGATTGCTGTTGAGATCGATGGTGTGTTGCAATGTTGCTTTTAGTTACTTAACCATTTGGGCTCCATTTTCTTTGATCTCTTACTTTTTCACAGAAAAATGAATTGGATTCTATAAGTTTATCACATCTAGGTCGATTTGACAGTTTAAAGAATCTTGATAAATATAAGTTTGTAAATTACAAATTAACAAAATATTCAAATCAATTAAGTGAGATGATAAGGTCAAAGTGTGTGTTTGGACACTCTTGTTCAAAATAACACAAAATGTACAACTGTAAATTTAAAAAAAAAAGGCTATAACAAAAAAAAAAAATTTTGTTACCATAAGAAAAGAGGAAAATTGCATATAAAGACTTGTGGAAAAAGTTATTCATAGGCAAAGATTAATATGTAAGAAATTATTTTTGGATAAAAATATGGAATAAATTATTATTAAAATAAAAATAAAAATTTATTTTTTCTCCAATGGTAATTTGTTATTGATTTTTATTTGCAAATAACTTTTTTTACATGCACTTGGATGCAATTTTCCCTTTTTTTTTCAATGATCTCCATAGAGAATTATTTACAGACAATGATTAATATGAAATTGTTTACTGTTAAAATGATAATAGTAACTTTTTTTTTTTGAATGATGATTTGATATTAATTTTTGTTTATAAATAATTTTTTTTAAAAGATCCTTAGATGCGTTTAAAAAAAAAAACAAAAACTTTCATGATTCTATAGTTCATTGGGTGTGAGCCCAGCCGTTAGTTAATTTATTGGTCCAACCTAATTTGTTCAGATTAAACAGATCGTAGGAGTGGGCTAAGCCCATTGTGATGGGCCAAAGGGCAAAGCCCATTTTAACACTCAGAATGCAAAAAGCAGAAGCACATCAAAACGGCACCGTTTAGCGCTTTCAGTCTATCTTGAAAGCCTGAAGTCTGCGCTGAACAGGGAACTCTCTCGTTTCGGTGGTCTTCGATAATCGTTCCTCAGGTCACGCTTCAGTTCCTATCAATGGAGGCCGCATTCTGGTGAGGCAACGTTTGAATAGTTAAAGTCTCAACAACCAGCTCTGATTACCTTACACGCCTCTAACTCGTTTTTCAGTTGTTCCTGGGAAATTATCAATTTTTTCTTTCCCTTTCTGTAAAAATTGATCATTTGGGAAGATGCTCGCTAACTGTTTGATGGTCGGTCTTCGTGGGTCAGGATTTTTTTTTTGTTTTTTTGCATGTGATTGCTGTTGAGATCGATGGTGTGTTGCAATGTTGCTTTTAGTTACTTAAACCATTTGGCCTCCATTTTCTTTGGTTTGTGATGTTTTTAAGTTTTCCCCGATTCAGTAGTACTATATTGCCATGGAATGTTTCTATCATAAGTTTTTGATTAGTTACGAAGTGTTTGCTCAGCTTGATATGGTTGTTGTCATCATATCAGTTGTTCCTTTTACCAAATGCCAATGAGCTAAACGCTGGAAAATGCATGCGAACTCATGAAATTAAGAGTAATCTATGGATCCATTTTGGTCTTGCATGTAAACTTTTAGACGTACCAGTAATATAATTTGAAATTTCAAGGGGTGATTGCAGTAGATACACCCATAAGAGAAGGCATGATACACACACACACACATTATGCTCTAATGCGGACATCGGATAAAAGTTTATTCATTGATCACATGGTCCTTATAGGCCTGCTGTAACTTTATCTAGTTTTCTATTTCATAAAGTTATTTGCCAGTTGAGCAAGCTTAAGCTCGATATAAGGGCTACAAATATTTTAAAAGAAAAAAAAATTGAATGTGAGATTTTGGTTATGAATGAGTTTTAAGGATTTACTGTGAGATTGAGATTCAATTTCCAATTAAGACCCTTTCCTAGGTTGCGAAACAACTAAGATTGTCGAAGGACACACCAATAAGGAAAGGGTGTCAAACGTCCCTGATTTTCAAATTTCTATTATGAATTGCTATAAAAGGATAATATAACTTTTAGCCTCTAAACTATCTCCCAATTATCGATTTTAATTTTTGAACTTTGCTATAATACAGCTCAATCCTTCTAGTTTATTGAGTCAAGGAAGTATAAGGACTCAGTTGATTTGAATCAAGGAATTATATGGTCTAAGTTGTTCCAAGTCAAGAAATTCTATGAACTGAGTTATGCATTTCGAGTTAAGAAATTATAGGAATTGACTTGTTTCAAGTCAATGTTCAAGAGGAGAAGTTAAGGGATCAAAAATTACATTTTCCCTACAATAAAATGTCCTGTTGTATAATAGGCATCTGTTCAGTTCTAATGCAAGTGCCTCTGAACTGAATTGAACTTTACAGCTGAAAAATTAAACTATTTGCAGTCTATGTCATTACAGTGGTCATTTTGGTTTGACGGTCAGCAGAATTATGGGACATGAAATGCATATTAAACGGGTTTTCTTGCTTGTAAATTTAGATGAATTATTATCAGAACCGAGTTTTCTTTCCTTCATGGATGAAGGTGTCAGTTACTTTCTTATTAGTAGTACGAATTTTTATATGTTTTCAAATGGAGTATAAATTGTATCTATGTAATGGGAGTTTATGTTATAATTGTCACCTGTATAATACATATTATGACTGATGAACTTATAGTTTATTTAATGCGCATTTCATTTTGGATCATCTTAATATAGTCATTCTCTGACTATTTCTGGGCTGTCTCCTCTCTCTACATCAAGCGGCAGAAAAATAGAAAGAGATCATAAGAGTCAAGAGTCGGTGAAGATCCATTATTCATGTATTTTATGAAGACTATATGAGTTTATTCTGTGATGTGTCCACAGTAGAGAGACCAAAAAGGATACATAAGGAAGTTATAGAATAAGATCTCATGATGAGTAATGTTTCTATAAAAGTTATTTTTTTATTGCACACAGGTATTCTCAGGTACTTTCCTATTAGAGACAATTATGTTCGAGGTACTATTGAGCATTAAATGTGGGTATTTTTCTCTGTGGGGATTTGACAATTAGCTCGTCACTTTGTGAAAAACTAGTTCCTTTTGTTAGACTCAACTGTTATTGATTGTTGATTGAACTCAATAACAGTTACGCAATCTATATAGCTACCTCGCTTTTGTAAAATAAGGCTTGTTGGTAGTGTTGTTATATGGTTGGCACATTATGTAGTGGCCTTGAGCAAGTCTTGCAAATTTGAGAAGTCCTATTGTAGGATAGGAATGAAAATCATTTGCTGCACCCTGTTGAGTTTTGGTCTTTTGGAGGTATTCTGCATGTCACATAGCCATCTCTGTTTTAGTTTAGCTTGACTATGTTTATTTTTTCTTATACTGGGAATCAGCATCAAGAAGTGGGTTTGCTGATTTTTTTTTCCTTTTTTTCTCCTCTCCCACTTTTGGCTCTTTGCACTTTATGCATGTTTTGGTGTAATATCTAGTTTTGTATTGACTTAAAACTAAGTGTGCAGCCTTCTCTTTTAACTTTATACACTGACATGTGTATGTCAAGTATAAATTTCATCGTTCATGTTCATATCATGATGATCGAAGAATGAATTATTCTCCTTCTAGAAGCAATGACCATTGATGGCTTTACTAGTTTGAAATGAATCCAAAAATTGGGCTTTTCATAACTTCTTTCTCTCAGCACTTGTCAGATTAGTTTCCTTTATATATATATATATATATATATGCAAAATAAGTTTCCTTTTTTAATGTCAGTAATACTATAACTTCATTGGAAGTATCCCTCCACACCCCTCTGTTGCAGTTATCTAGTAACAGCAAGTGATGGGTGCTTTTGATTGGTATAATTTTTATCTTCCTGTATTGAATATTTTCCCATACACTGTCAAAGGTATTCATATTTAGTGCTTGACTGTGTTTTGAATATAATTATTTTCAATAAAAGGACACCTATACACAATAAAAAATGTTGACATGAAATGCGATGATAAGAGTTTGGCTGGGCCTATGGCTCATAATGTTGACACACTCGGACCATATTGATGCAAGCTGCAAGGTTTTGCAAATCTAGGTGCAATATTTACAACCATTTTCCTCTTGGAAGGCGATGTTCTAATTCTATAGTTGATTACAGTCAACCTTGTGGATACTGTAATAATATACCTTATAGATCCTGTATACTTGAACATTTCCAGAAAGCATTTGATAATGAAAACGGTTTGCAAATGATGAGGGAATTCCCTTTATCAAAGTAATCAAAATCAGTGGGCTCAGGGCATCTTAAAGTCTAAATTATGAATCAAATTCATGTACGAGCCCATGTAAGCATTTCACGATCTAATTATGCGAGACAAATTATCATCTCATTGCTGTAAACATCATAACAACATCCAAAATTACTTTCAAGTAAAGCCATGAAAACGAGCCAATCATGGTAGGCTGGCCCGTTTAATTAAATTTGAAAATAGTAAGGGCTAGGCTATTAATTTAGGGTGTAAAATGGAATTTCAAGCTTAAAAAGGCTGATTATAATAGGCTTAAAAATACAAGGGCTATCCCCATTAAGTCCTATTATTATTTTTTTTTAAAATTAAGTCAAAATAATACAAAGTAAAACTAAACCATACATTTAAAAGATTGAAACCCTAGGATCAAATTATATTAATAATGAAATCATCATGATATTGCTAGCTAGTCTTTATTGGTGTTGATTTTTGATGATGTCACCATTTGTTATGATATTAAATTTGAATGTTTAAGCTTTACATATTTGTTTGGCATCAATTTACTTAAATTTATTTTTTTAAACTTAATTTTATATGTAATAATTTTTTTAAATTATAAGTTTATTTATTAAATTTTTTAAATTAAAAGAAATGTATAATAGAGCTAAGGCCTGTAAGGTCAACCCTTCAACCTTGAGGGCCATGGCAAAAGGAACATCATAGATAACATGCTTCCAAACTTCAAAAGGAACATATTGATAATATTCAATCATCATTTACATTTATGTAAGTTGGATAATCAGATAAGGGGAAAGGTGATCATTGAAAACAAATTCCTAAATAAGAAGAAGCAAATGTTACGAATTGTGTTGGAGATAATTTATTTAAAACAAATAAATTAGCTCAAATGTATAGCTTGAGTTTCGAGCTTTTTTTTAAAAAATAAATTAGCAAATTACTCTTATGAACTTTAGATCTAGTAACATTATAAATTATAAATTTATTTACTATGCAAATTGTCCCCTTTAGTTGACAAGAAAATGATAAAAAAGATCTCATAAATTATAGAAAATGAATTTTTTTTTTGTCTTTTTGGGTCATTATCTGTATCTTTTTGTGTCATTTATTGTAATTTTATTTTTTTGGGTAATTTTTGAGGGTTTTTTTTTGTCTACTAACGATCAAAGTTAATTTTTATTAATGATGAAAGCAATATTGTATTGTTAGAAAGTTGATGGAATGATTTGTACAATAAATAAATTTAGAATTTATAGTGCTATTTGATATAAAGTTTAAAAGATAATTTACTCATTTACTTTTTTTTTCCTCGTGAAGTTCATACAATCTTTGCCCAGAAGCTCTTTTATGTTGAAAAATTCAATTTTTAGAGCTTGAACTAAAAAAAAAAAAAAGCTTAAATAAGTAGTCTATTGGCCACATCATATTCCAGGCTTAACCTTGGGGCATATTTTTGTAAAGAGTCAATAATATAAATATGGAATTACAAACGAAAATTATGGAACTATTTCTCACCCACACATATATAGCTATTTTAGAAAACTCAAATGCCACGATAATCAAGTGACAGATACATTATTACTTAGGTGAAAAATTCACAGCTGCATTTTTTGCCTGGAAAAAAAAATACAAAGACTTGGAGTTGAATTTTTTTTTTAATTGAATAGGAACATTACGATGTACGAAAAGCACAATTTCTTTTTTTCTTTAGAATAGAAATTAGGTTGTGGTTGGGTGTAACGAAAAAAACTGATTTTCTTTGAATAAAATATCTAAACAGATGAAAGAAATTGTGTTAGTAAAGTTCCTTTCGGTATACCAGAGAAAGACGTTATTTTTAATTCATTTTGATAATGCTTATCTCTGACCTAATAGTATCGGATATTAAATAAAAAAAATTGTATGAAAAGAGAAATTAAGGTTGGGCTATGGCCATGGTTCAATAATTCAGAAGTAATCTGCAGGGGGTGGAAATTAAACCAAATATAACATTAAATAAATATGATTTTTCTATAAATAATCTTTAAATGCTAACACAAACTTAATTTAGTACTTTAGATAACCTGATTGTGGTGGTAAAATAAAGAAACAGTAAGATAACATGAAAAATAACTTGAAAAGTTCAAGAGTTAGATGGAACTGCAAGACAACATGCATATGAGAGATTTCTATAATACATCCAGTACATAATATATATGATGAACTTAAACTAACTTTACGTTTATTAAAAAATGTTAATTATAACCTTAAAATTGTAAAAAAAATTGTCACTTTTCAATTTTACCCTTTTTTATAATTAATAATCATAATAAATTATTATTTAGGAATTCAAATGACAATAAGTAAACAAAGGGTAAAATTAAAAAAAATTAATTACTCTAATTTTTCTTATATATTAAGAACCAAAAATAGATTTCAAAATTCCTCTTATACTAAGTACTGGAGAAGCATGGGGGTACTTCAATGAAGAAAAGATAAAGAAGTTATTATAGGAAAAATGTACAGTCATTTGTTTTTATATCAGGGGAATAAAAAAAAAAGAAAATTAATCTTTTAATTTCTCAACTTTTAACTCACTTGTAACTCAGTTTTTCAACTATGACACGTTGCGATTCAGTCCTTCAACTATAACTCGCTGCGACTCAGTCCCTCAGCTTTTGATTCACCTATAGTTCATTCCTTATTTTTTATTTTTTTAAAAAATTTCTTATCAAATCAGAGGGATAAAAAATGTTCATATATTATTCTAAAATACTCTCCTCTTGCTCATTGATGTGAGATATAAGCTAACATGAAAAAAAATTAACAAAAGTTCAAGAACTAATTTGTAAGTGATTTGAAAGTTGAGGGACTGAGTCATAGATGAGTCATAGTTGAGAGACTGAATTATAGTGAGTCATAGTTGGGGGACTGAGTTATAAGTGAATTAAAAGTTGGAGGACTAAAAGATCAATTTTTTCTTAAAAAAACCCTACAAAGCAGTATCAATGTCCTGCTGCAAAACTAGAAGGGAGAATGACAAAAAAGTCTCAAAAGGATTAATTAATTTAAATTAGGTTTTGAGTGCTAAACACCATAAATTTGCAACTCAATTTTACAATTGTGTTGTAATGAATTTATAACTTATTTTTTAAATTTTAACATGGTTGAATAATAAAAAAATTTATTTTTTCTATTAAAATTTGAAATACAATTTATAAATTCATCATAATAGAGTTGTAAAATTAAAGAATTGAGTTGTAAATTCATAAAATTTAACACTTTAGAGTTAATTTAAAGTAATTAATTTTTTTGTAATCTTTCTGTCATTCTCCCAAACTAGAATTAACTCGGCAGGGGGAGAGTGTGGGGATGAAACCCAACAATGAATGAAAGCGCCTGCCTTGGCAAGAGTATCAATAGCCTCATTAGTATCACACGAGATCTTCTGAATAGTAACCAACCAATCACAAGCTAGCAAGGACTTGATCTCTGAGATAATTAAATTCATAATTAATCTTGGTGGGTGTCTATCACATCTCTAATAATAGCTTCATTAGCCTAAGAAAAATCAATCTCAAGGATGAGTAATGCCAAGGTCCAATTCCGTTTTTAGGCCCCATAAGCAAACCCAAAGTTCAACATTTAGAGGATCTCCGTCATACCTCTTGTGCGTAAAGCCAGCTTTGAATACACCATAAAATCACAAATAAAACCACCACAACCAGCAAAATTCTTCTGCTCGGTTTAAGCAAATAAAGCTCCATCCACCACAATCGCGCCCTTCAGCTTATTGCAATACTCACTGAACATATGAATAATAACAAGGATGTAAGCATCGATTGTTCCATTGGAAGTGGATTTATCCTTTTTTTTTTTTTCATTCCATCTTCGGCAAATGAGCCAATTATAAACAACTAAGAAATACTAGGACTAAAGA